CCGCAGCCCCAGCCCCCGCCCCTGCCTCCTCCCCCTCGCCCTCTGGTGGCTCCTCCGCAAGCAGCTGCGCCTCTGCGTCGGCTGCGCCGGCCAAGGGCGGCAGCTTGTCGGAGCGCAGCGGTTCGGAGACTGCGGCAACAGGGGCCGGTGGAGGCGCATTCGCACGCTGCGAGTTCCGATAAGCGATGCGGCACGAGGTCAGCCAGTTCTTGAGCGTGTGCGGCGGGTCCCAGAAGAGACTCAGCGGCATATGCACTGGCAGCGGTGCAGCCGCCGGCGTCAGGCGAATCCACTCTGGGTACGCGAACGCGGCCTCAAAATCGCGGTTCAGCATCGACTTATACTGATCGTGTATGAACTCTTGGTCGTCATCGGCGCCACCGACCGTGATATGCCCCGTCCCGCAGCCCTCATGCACCAGTCATAATATGTAGGCCTTCTCTCCCAACGTTTTGAGCAATAGCCGCAAACAACTGGCTCCTGCTGCTCATATTTTGGACGTGTGTGTAGTCTATACAGTCTGTACACCGGCGCCAGTGTGCCGTCAGTGCCCACGCGAGAGGCGCTACTGCCTGTTTTTACGCCTTGTCCGGACTGGCTGGGCGGTGGTTCACGGTTGGCGTGCAACACATCTCGGGACTCGGCCTGCTGTACCGACCCGTCGTGGCTTCACATCTTCCTCGTGCCAGCGGCTATCCTCGGCACCAGAGCGCTCCATCAGAACGCCAGAGCCTGTCCTGGGGTGGGTCCCTACGCCCTTACAATCATACGCACAAAAAAACCCGGACTCAATCGATTGTACTGCGGTGGTGTGAGTGAATGCACCATGAGCAACAACCTGACGAGGCCTGTAGCCGACTCACGCACGTGCGACACCATACGCGGGGTGCATGGCACGTTCGCGGGCGCGTGTCCCTGCACCCTGGCGTCCCGTCCCCTCTCGCGCCTGAGCAGCCCCAGCCGCCCTGCGCGCACAATCGCCACTGTGGGTTGGCGATTTCTCAGTACGCCTCTCATGGGCAACGGCAGCCTTTACCCGACTTCATGCACGCTGGGTGGTTGTGCAGCATGACCGCAAAGCATGGGTTCCGACGGTCGCCAGGGCTGCAGCCCCAATTGGTCTTCTTTCCGTTGGAGCCCCTCTTTCGCCGGCTGGTCTTTCCGCACTTCGGGCAGATGGTGTCGTACTTGCCGTCGGGTGGAGGGTCGGACGGAGGCTGCGGCGGAGCAACGGATGAAGAAGCGGCAGAAACACTCGCTCGGCAAGACGCGCGAAGGGCAAGGGTCTGCTCTGAAGCTCTCCTTGAGGCCTGAGTCTCGCTGTTGAAGCATCCCTTGGCCTCGTTGGTCTGTCGCAGCGCGGCGTCGTCGGCCTCCTCCACCGACTCGAGCTGTCGCAGCTGTCCGAGCTGCGACGGGGAGAGTCGATGCCCGCGCTGCTGCATCTCGCGCAGCTCCCCACGCTGCCGCTTGCGAGTCGCGGGTGCCCCTCCGGCCGCGGCGTCGCGCTGCGCCTGTTGCGCCTCGGCGAGAACGGCTTGCAGCCCGGCATCACCCTTCCAGTCGTGGCGCTGCGCGGCGTTCTTCGATAGCGGCGCCAAGCCCCGCTCGACGCGCTGCTCGTTGGCGTACGCTTTGAGGACGCCCTGCGCAGCGCCACCGCGCGAAATCGACTCAGCTGCGTTGCGAGCTGGCTGCGCCATCAGCCCGAGACGATTGCCTTCCGTCGGCACGACAGGGGCGCTGCGACGCCGGGGCGCTGGCTGTGGAAAGTCGGTCTCGGCGGGCAGGCGGAGCGAGCGCACAGGCGTGGCCTCGGCAGGAGGGGCACTGCGACGCTGGCTACCGCCGCCGCCAAAGCCGCCGCCAAAGCCGCCAAAGCCGTCGTCGCGCGGCGCGGTGGGCTGCGGGCGGAAGGCGGCAGGCGCGGCAGGCGCGGGCGCGAGCGTCGAGGCGCGGCCGGTGAAGCCGCCGCCGCCGCAGTCGCCACTCGCGAGGCCCTGCTGCTCAGCCGCATCGCCAACGGCAGCGGCGAGTCCCATGTGCGACTGGAAGGCGGAGCGCTTCTTCTTCTGCTGCGCTTGCTTGCACTCCCCCTTCCCTCCAACGCAGTCGATAGCGCCGTCGGGCCCCTCCTTCGGATCGCACCACTGCGGGATCTCGAACGACTCGTGCGACTTCTCGAAGGTGAGGCCGTGCGTGCTCGCGCGCTCGCGGAGGTAGCTGAGCAAGACATCTCGCACGCGCGCCGCATCGTACGTCGCCCACTGGCGATCAATCAGGCGCGCAATGCTCTGCGCAGCCACACTGCCGGGGCGGCTGCCCATGCGGTGGTGCCAGGCCTTCTCGCCCTCAGCGTACTCGCGCTCACCGTTCGCGGCGGGTCCAAAGGCGTACAACGCCGTGACCTCGAGCACCTTGCGCTCGCCACCGGGCAGCTCGCGGCCGTCAGAGCCGAGCTCCTCCTGGTGCTGCGAGAACTGCACCGGGTGCTTGCGGGCTGCGCCAGGGATGGCGATGCGCACGTGGTTCTCACGCAATAGCCCTGAGGGAGGAGACGGTCGCGCGTTAGAAGGCGGCGGCACGGGCGGCGGTGCGGCGCACGGCAGAGAGAGCAGTGTGTCAGGGCGGCGCGCACCGGGCTCGTCTGGCTTGTCGCGGTGCGAGCTGCCCGCGGCGCCCTCCGGCATCTCGGAGAGGCCGCGGTTGCCCGTCGAGAGGGGCGGGCACGCCTCGTCGAGCTTCGCTTCCACCTCGAGCAGGAAGGCGAGCGGGCCGCCAGGGGCGGCCGCCGCCGCCTCGAGCAGCCGCTGGTGGCCGACGGTCGGCGAATACCGCGGGCCGCCGCGCGTGCTCGTGTTTGCCAGGAAGCGGCTGTGCTCGGAGAGAGGGTGGCGGCCGCCAGTCTGGCCGACCATGATGCCGCAGCCGTTGACCGAGGAGAGGTACTGCTCCATCTCGCGCCCGGAGAGCAGCGAGTAGAGGCTGAGGCCAAACTCGAAGAGCTCACCGTAGAAGTCAGCGGGGAAGCACGAGAGGCCGACACGAGTCGTGTGCATCCGCTGGGCTACAGCATTGCCAGTGAACATCCTCGAGTATAGAGCCAGCTCGCCTTGCGCAAGTACGCTCTCGGACTCCACCTCGCCACCGCCGCGGTTCGTCTCGAGCGCGGCTTGTTCGACTCGCGAGAACGCTGCCGCAAATTGTGGGTCGTCGAACGGCAGCTCTTCGTCGCCGAAGTCGTACGGCTGCAGCGGAAGGCGTGGCGGGTGTCCAGAGGTGGCTCGGTCCAACTCGTCGAAGAAGGACGCGTCGGCGTCGAGCAGGTCGTTCCCAAAGTGAAAGTCCATCGAGTTCCTTGTATCGAGTTTGCCCGGCGGCGGCCTGTACAAGCCGCTGAGCAGATAGCGCAAAAATATTTTTCCCGTCGTAGTCAGCTGTCGTAGTCAGTATTTTGTGGCTCAGTTTCGAGCTCGCTATCATCTAATCACCGCGGGGATGTGCGTAAAGTGTGGGCGAGGTGAGCGTCCGCCCCTACACCTTCGACGAGGTCGCAGGCGACCGTGAATTGGAGCATTTTGACACCACCGTGTCTCACGACGTGGCCAATGGCATTGTGCCCATGATTCAGGCCGCACAGCGTGAGGTTGCGCAGCGCGGCGGAGGAGCTCTGACTATGTTTGCCTCTCCGTGGTCGCCTCCGGCGTGGATGAAGATTCCACTCCTCCCTCCCACGGGCGCTCGGGGGCCGGCGCCCTCTGGGATCTCGATTGCGCGCTGGTGGGAGGCCGACCCCAAAGGCAAGCGGAGCATGATTCTCTCGGACGTGCCGCTCTGCCTTGAAGCGGAGAGTCTGGGCCCCTGGGCAAAGTACTTTTCGCTCTGGATCGATGCGTACCAGCGGCACGGCATCCGAATCTGGGCCGTGACGATTCAGAACGAGCCCATGGCTGCCGTCGGTTGGGAGTCGTGCCTTTGGAGTGCCAACAATTCGGCAGCGTTTGTGCGGGACCATCTCGGGCCGGTGCTCGCTCGAGAGCAGCCCGGAGTGTTGATCATAGGCTACGATCACAACAAGGACAAGGTCGCGAAGTGGGCAAAGGCGCTATACGAGGACCCGCTAGCAGCGCAGTAGGCGGCGGGCTGGGCGGCGGCGGTGAGGGCGGCCGAGGTGAGGGCAGGGGTGGCGAGGGCGGTGGCGGGCTGGGTGGCGGCGGGGACGGCGGCGACGGGCTCGGTGGCGGTGGGTTCGGTGGCGGCGGGGACGGAGGTGACGTCGAGGGAGGTGGTGGGGACGGCGGCGGTGGGTTCGGTGGCGGCGGGGACGGAGGTGACGTCGAGGGAGGTGGTGGGGACGGTGGCGGCGGGCTCGGTGGCGGCGGGGACGGCGGCGGCGGCGAGGGCGGTGGCGGGCTTGGCGGCGGCGGCGAGGGCGGGGGCGGTGAAGGTGGTGGCGGCGAGGGTGGAGGTGGGGATGGCGGCGGTGGGCTTGGAGGCGGCGGCGAGGGAGACGGCGGCGAGGACGGTGGTGGGCTTGGCGGTGGCGGCGAGGGCGGCGGCGGAGACGGAGGCGGTGGCGAGGGCGGCGGCGGCGAGGGCGGGAGCGGAGAAGGCAGCGGCGGAGAAGACGGCGGAGGGGGCGAGGGCGGCGGCGGCGAGGGTGTTGGCGACGGTGGCGGTGGGCTTGGAGGTGGCGGCGACGGCGGTGGCGGGCTTGGCGGAGGCGGCGAGGGCGGCGGCGGCGACGGAGGCGGTGGCGAGGGTGGTGGTGGAGAGGGCGGCGGCGGTGACGGCGGCGGTGGTGAGGGAGGCGGCGGGCTCGGTGGCGGCTGGGACGGCGGCGGAGGCGAGGGCGGCGGCGGCGAGGGAGGCGGTGGCGACGGCGGTGGCGGAGACGGCGGCGGCGGAGACGGCCGCGGCGGCGGAGACGGCGGCGGCGG